CGTTTTTTGAAAAAATGATTTATTTGTTTGTCTACAAACATTTGTATGTTATCGCCTTCAAAAAAGTTCCCATTAGATATTATGCACTTGTACCAACCCTTCTTCAATCCTCAAAACACATCTTAAACTCGATCTTTGGGATAGTCTTCAGCTCATTCAGCGATGCGCTTTTAATGTCATCTATGCTTGTAAAACGACAGCCCTTTAAGGCCTCTGTATTTATTGAAATAGAAAAAAGTCACACGGAGCCATGTCTGGTGAGTATGGAGGCTGGGGTATCGTTATAGTATTGTTTTTAACTAAAAATTCACGAACAAGCAATGAAGTGTGAGCAAGTGCATTATAGTGGTGCGAAAACCATGATTATTTTCCCATACATCCGGGCGTTTTTTTCGGATTGCTTCACACAAACGGCATTGAACTTATTGGCAGTACTCCTTATTGACCTTGTGGTCAAGAATTCATGATGCACTACGCCATTAAAATCGAAAAACATAGTGAACTTAACCTTCACGTTTGATTGTCGAACCTTTTTCGGTCTAGGCGATCCAGAATGCTTACACTGAGACGATTGTGCCTTAGTTTCGCCGTCCTATCCATAAATTCATGGTTCGTCATCTATATCGTCGTTGATTTCATTAAGACACTCCTGAAAAACTTCCATTCGCTATTGTTTTTGATCAAAATTCCACAATTTTGGAACAGATTTTTCTGCTCTCGTTTCATACCCAACGTTCGAAAAATTTTTATGGCATGAGCCAATCGAAACTTCAACATCAGCAGCAACTTTACTGATTGTGATTCGGTGATTGTTTATAAACATTTCTTTCACTTTTTTCATGTTTTCATCGATTTTTGATGTGCTGGGTGTTCGTCATATTTCACGTCCATCTTTGAAACACTAATACCACTCATAAACCCTTGTTTTACTCATGGCAGACTCATCATAGGCCTTTGTTAACATTTCATACACTTTGTTGTACATTATTTCATTTTTTACGCAAAATTTGATATAAATCCTTTGATTTATTTTTTTTAACAAACTAAAATCGCCGATCTATTTAAAACACATCTGACCTTATCGGCTACCACTGACAAAGTAAAAAATTAATACAGCTGAAAATTTTATCATACTTTAGGGACATGTGGTCCCAACATTATGACAACATTTTTTTGATAATCGGACTTTCCAAACCCGCGGAATTTAAAAATTCCCTTTATTTTCTGAACACACCTCGTATATTTTTTTTATCATAGTAAATGATGATGCCAATTAAAGCTAATAAAAGTGTTTTGATTTTCAACTAAGATAATTATGTGTCAGTGCCATATTTATGAAAGGATATTTATTCATAGTTCCCTCGAAAGGAGTCCTTGACAAATATTAGTTGTACATCGTTTATAATTATTAAGGACGAATAAAATTTTGGATGATTAACGAAAGCGGGTAAAAAGACAGGGTTGTTATTTTTTGAACTATTTTTTAAAATTTGTATTGGTCTTATGAGACGTTTTAAACAGGTTTTTCTTAAACATGGTTTTTACTACCCTGTTAAATACACGTGATAAAACACATTTTTACTAAACAATTATAATAAGAATAAATATTACAGTAAACATAAGTTTTGACAATATTGAACAAAAAGTCAGAAAATATTTGTCAACACTTCAATATTAGTCGTTATTTATTTTTATAAAAATCCTATTACTAAATAAAAGAAAGAATGTCATTTTTTTATTTATGTATTTTTTTTTATTTAGTATACATAAAACATTAGGAACTGATCTTGATAATTTAAAAAAGGGTAGTACAATCCCCATGAAAACTAAGTAAATATTGTTGGGTTAGGTACAATTTCAAGGCTTTGGTTTTTTTGCTTGCCTTGCTTATTACATTTTTGTGACGAGAAATAAGTCGCTTAATTAGTATATGACTTTTCAATTTAAAAATTTTGGCTTATTCAAGTTGTATGTATGTCTTGATTTATAAGTCATTAAATATTTTTAAGGGCTTTTCCTTTTACCTTGTAAGGGTAACAACTTTATATTTTTTAATAATAACACACAGTGGTAACATTTCTAATATTTTATCTATTAAAATATTTATGTTATTATTAAAAAAATAAAGTTAATTGCCTTATAAGGAATAAATAATAAATAATACTAAACATAACAAATATAAATTCTCAAAATTATAAATTTAGGATAAATTAAGTGGTTATCTATAAATAAATCACCTCGTTTATATTTGAACATAACTATAGTAGTAATTATATCATAGTTACCGTTACTATTATAGTAGTAATGTTTACTGACTTTCTTGTTGTGTATTAATTATTGATTCTGAGCGAAGAATTTTTTTGGGGGAGCTTAGTTTTAAATTGTACTGGATTTATGAATTGTAAATCCAGGCGTCAATTGAAACGTAAAAGTGAGGTATCTATAAATGTGATTTATGAATTTAAATATTACCCTAAGCCAAATTTTAATGTAATTGGTTGAAATTTTAATGATTATTGGTTAAAGGATATTAGCGAATATTACCATTTACAAAAGCACATTATACTCTGTAGACATCTATTATAATTTACAACGCAAACAATCGCATTTGGCTGTTATTAAATTTTTAATCACAATAATAATAATACCATAGAACCCATTTTACATTGGCCTATTGTGTCCTTTTTGTGTGGCGCTTAATACTTGTATTGTCACATATTCAAGCAATAAATAGCACAATATTAAGTAATAAGTTAGCATCCCTCAAACGTAGTGATAATATTGAACTTTATTTATTGACTTCAAAACTAAAATGTTTTAGTATTTTAAATAATTTATTATGTTTCATTAATATATCACAACTTACGCTTATTTATGCTTATAATAATATAATATATAAATAATCATAATAATAATTAACAATAATTATATCAATATGACATTTTGTAAAAAAAAATCCAAATAATAATTATTTTAATTAAAGATATGGTATAAATGAAAAATTATATTATAAATAGTACTGGTGATTGATAAAAATTTTATCCAGTTGCAATGTTTAAAGTATTTGTAAAAATAAGTATTATTTACAGACTATATAGAACTCAAAAAACCATTTTATAAAGATGACCACTTAATATTCATTTAGAAATTAAAATCAATTAGTATAGGTGAGTAAGACTGTGATAAGGGGAGCGGGAACAATACCAGTGCCAAAAAATATAATACATGTGTTGACATAAAGTGTACCTTCTTTAAAAATATATTTAATAGGGGTACCAATGACAGTTAACAGGGAATTGTAGGAGAGCGTATAATTACTTAGTTTTTATCTTATTTAACATATTATAAGATATTTACCCTTTTATTAAAAAAAAATATAGTCATTTAATTTTGATTTTTAATTTAATGAAAATATAACCAATTGTTCTAATATTTTAACAAGTAACTTCATTGTTCTTTCTAATAATTAAAAAAGACCTTCTATGCTTTATTTATTAACTCAAAATTATAATTATGATTCTCCATCGTATTTTTTACAAAAATACTTTAGCCATGTTAAAGAACAACTTAATGTTACTTTAAAATGTTAAATTTTATTTTTATGATGTAAACATATAACTTTGTTCCATATTTATGTATATTATCTGTACCGATTGGCTTTTCATGCGCTATTTAATAAATAATATTTAAATAACAACATCGAGTCAGCAAATTTAAATTAAAATTACTATGCATTAAATTTGATGTTTTAACAATTTTATAATTTATATTTTTAATATTTAGTTAAAGAGCTTGGGAATTTTTTTTGTTCCCTATAAATAATTTTCAAATATTTATAGTTGTATACTCAAGTTTTAATGATAAACAGAAATAATTATTTAAGTTATGCTCTATATAATGTCGTTGTTAACCTAGCTCAGAAAACAATCCCAAGAAATTATTGTTGTTTATTGTTTAAGATTCTCATTTTTTTTTCTCTATTTTAACTCGATAAAACCAATTTAATTTTTCATCTTTTTTTTTACCATTGTTAAGTTTTTGTTGTACGATTATTTAAAATCTATTATAATGCAATGTAAAATCACTAATTATAAACAAAACAAGAAAACTCATTTCGTATAACTTGAAAAATTATCAATTTTAAATACGTTTAATTAACCAGGGTCCATAAATAAATATATTTATGGCTAAAAGCACTTATATATACTCCTTGAACTATTACCCCTGTGCCTGAACTTGTATTAATCCGATTCAAATCTAAGAACATAAATTATGCGTTAATTTTTTTACAAGACTAAAAAAATACATTTCCGTAGTTTATCTGTTAGGTATTGAAATATATAATTCTACAAATTCCTTAAAAAAAAATTAAAGAATATTAATCAAATAAAACTTTTGAGATGTTTTGTCCATTATTTCAGAATTAGCTCCTCTTTCAAGTTGTTTTATAAAATTTGATTAGTTCTATAAATTGCCGATTTACCTTAAAAAGTGCTTGGTATAAGATTGCTAAAATGGGTTTTTGTCACAGATTGAAAAACAAAATTGTTTCAGTGAAAAATTATCTAATCTTCTATGTCTTTTTTTTTAGGTTTTATGACAATTCTATGTTTTTTTAAATTATGACTATTTAGTAGTTAATTAGAATGAAAATATAATATTCAATCTCATTCATCAAATTTTTAGGAAACTGCATAATCAATAATTATTAATACTGTTCTAGTGACACAATTAGTTATAACATTTAAGAACTCAATTTATTTCCAGAGAAAAATATATTTTTGAGTTTTACAAAATGATTAACAAATAATTTAAAAGTAAATTGTTCATAGTAATAGTTTTTAAAAATGATCTAATTAAATAATTCCTGTTTTACCCTACTTCTTAATTATCATCTTTATTAATTACACAAACTGATAATTTTTAAAATCATAGATTTTTTAGTTTGTAAATTTTATCAAAGTAACAGCATTAGTAGCTAGTACATGGAGTATTTTATAAATACAAGTGTAATTTTAAAGAAGAGATTTATACAGATCATTCTTTTAATATTAACCTTTCAATTTTTCTTAAAGTAATAATTAACAAGAAAATTATTTTTGCATTTTTAGTAGAGGTCAGATGTGGGTTATGTTGTTTATATTATTACACATTACTCTGACATACTCTTCTTCCACTCTATATTTAAAAATATTAGTTAATTCCGAAGTACTGGTTCAAAAGTTGTTATAAACAAGTCATTTTCTTATTTGAATAGTTTTTTATTTCATAAGTTTGTTAAATATGTATATTGTCATTTAAAAAAATCAAGTTTGCACTTTTTATAAGGTTTAATGGATAAATTTAAAAAATATTTAATAATTAATAAGTCAAATAATAAACAAAATTATTTTAAGAGAAATCGATAATAATATTAAAAGAAGTAACCTGTACAATGTACAGTGTACATTTATAATCTGAACTTTAAATTATTTAAAGATAAACTTAACATTTTGTAAAAGTAATTACCTAAATATTTGAAATTAGACATTGGATTTCACCTTTCATTCCACTTCTATATCCTCTTTATGAATACCATACATTCTCATTTAAAAACCGCTATTCACTTCTTTTCTAATTAATCTCAATAAAAAATTAATGCAAAGTGTAAAATTTATTATTTTATTTACAAAAAGTGTCCACTTAAATATAGTGCACAAGTAGCACTAGAGTTGTAAACAAATATTACTTAGATTATACAGTCCAAATTAATTTGTATACTTTAAATGATTGAATAATGCTAAAATAACATAAGTTACTTTGAATTTTTAACAGATTAAAATGATACAATTATATGAAGAACATACTAAATTGGAAAATAATTTAGTAATAAATATGTTATTTTTAGAATATGATTAAAAATATTACATTTTTAAATATAAGGATATTTTATTTGTCAAGAGATATTTAGTTAATAATAAAATTGTTTTTTTTTCAATAGCTGGAAATGGCATAAAATACTTAATATATACTGTTGTATAAGCATTGGAGGATTATCAATATACTGCAATTATGAAATGAATTTTGTTGAATCATTACAAATAAATTGATCATTCACTAATACCCTCTAGGAGGACCACTCGGAGGCCCTAGAATAATACAATAAAAAATTATTGAAAATTTCAAGAAATTTTATCATTACTAATTTTAATCAATACTAACCTCTCATCATTGGTGGAGGTCCACGCATGTTATTAGTTGGCATAGGAGGTGGTCCACCTCGTCCCATTCCAGACATTGGTGGCATACCAGCTAAGAATGTATTTCAAATTTATTAATATTTTAAACAAATTACAATAAAATCAAATTTATTAAGCGTATGAAAATTTAAATGATACTTATTTAACAAGTTAATTTTATCCAACATATCTTATAAAGTACCTTCAAATTTTAACAATAATCAATAATGTAAGAATTAAGATTTTGTGGATAGATAGAAAGTTTATTTCATACATAATTGTTTAATAAATTATAAATTTATTTATTACTATCCTTAAATTATCAATATAAAGAAAATAACCTACCCATCATTCCAGGAGGTGGAGCCATAATAGGAGGACCACGTATTGGTGGCTGAGCTGGAGCTCCTCTTGTAGGTGCCATTGCAGCTGGAGCAGGACCTCCAACACCTCTAACTGGTCCTTGTAATCCTGTAAAAAAATGTAAGACTTGATTTCATGTTCTGTTACAATGGTTTTATTATTATTATATACACATGAAATTAAAGAGATGAGAAGATGATTGTGTTAATTGATAATTACAAAACTTCAGAGTTATTAAATAATTTTTAGTAAACATTAGAATAAGTCAAAAATTTGTTCAACATTGTGAATATACTAAAATAATGTTATCTGGACAATACAATTATTTTCAAAAAGATGTATCAACTATCATTCAAATATGTTAATCAACTTTATCTACTATGAGATTACTCTTTTCGAAAAAAAAAAAAATATTTAATACGGTACAAAATTATTACCTGGTGTAGCAGCAGTTGGCATAACTGATGGCATACCTCGACCAGCAGCTCGACTTGAGCCAGGACCACCTACTGAACCTGGTAATGGAACTCTAGGTAATCCTTCTTCTGGAGGAGGTGGTCCTTCAATTGTAATAGAAACTATATTTTGACCACGTAACAATACAAAACCTAATACACGTTTTTCTTCTCTTGGTTCTGCTGGCATAGTAGGTACTTTGGCTTTGCTCTTTAGTCTACGAAACTCTTCACAATCCGATAAAATTAAATTCATATGTTTATCAAAAGCTAAAATGGAAAAAAATATTAATATTTTACTGTATTTTGACAAAATATTTTATTACCTTTGAAAGTACCAATAAACATTCTAGAGTCTTGTAAAATCACACGCACTCTGTAATTGATGTGCTGCATCATTTTATTATTTTTGGTAACCGGCTAAAATAAAGAATTAAGACATCAATCATAATTTATAATTATGATATAAAATTTTTAATACTTAACATAGAATTATGACAAAATCATAAAATAAAAGTAATTATCCTAAGGGTTAGTTAATTCAATGGTAGTTTTTAATAAGAAAAGAATTTTTAATATAGAATTCGATTAAAAATGAATATACATACTAAAAAGTTTATTTATAAATAAATAGTAACTTACCATTTTCGTGGCTTTATATATTCTAGTTACGTAATGATAAAAATTCCACAATTACAAAATTGCGAACATCAAAATACAAAAATTATTTAGCTTTATTTTTCATTAATTTATTTCAATAAAGCTATTAACGATCCAAATCGTTAAAACACACGATTCGGCATTGACAAAACATAACCAGTAAACAAACTTGCCTGACAATCGATTACACTGAACTGAGGAACGTTTCATATTTACCGCTAACAGAATTACAAAAACGAATTTACAGGGTAGCCAAAACCAATAAATAAACTTCTCTTATGGGTATAACACGATTGTTATTGATAAAACCCTCATTTTAACTTTTATTCACCAAAAATGACTAAAAAGTAGTATTTTGAAATATGCATTATAAATATACGCCAGTATCAGCTGTACCTAATCGCACTACATACCCACTCAAAGTACTAAAATGCTTATCACTTAATATATAAATGACGTAAGTTGTTAATAATCCATCAACATTATTGTAGGAAAACATCTAAAAAAATGTCAATCTTGTAATATCAAAATAATTGAAAAAAAAAATTTTTGTTAACAAATAATGAAAAATTTGATTGTAACATTATTTAAGAGTGCATAAATTATTACAAACAATATTGAAGCATATTATTAATTATTTCAAAAGTTATAAGCATGGGTTGGGACATAAGTCCCGTCCCTACTGAATAAATGATATAATTATAGCATTTGCTTATTTTTATTGTTTGAAATATAATGCAGTAAAACATTATATATGTTTATGTCATGTCATGATGATTTCATATATAAAATTTGTAAGTGCTTTCTTTTGCATCTATTGACGATTTATAAACATTTTTCCTTTTTTCATCATTTTTGCTTTTTTTTAGCGATTTTATAATTCAAATTCTTATTTTATTGAAAACCCTAGTAAACATTTAATTATTCAATGGTATGATATATTAAAAAATAAATTTAGTTTTTAATTTGAATTAATTACACCGGCACACAAAAAAAAAAAGTTGTCTGTACTTTTGACCGGACCCACCTACGGACCTATGTATTTTGACCCGTTGAATCCGAATTTGAAGTCCGTTTGGCCCGGTCACCCTTCAGATTTGAGTAAAATGCAAAAAACCAAAAAATTGCAAAAAACTGCAATCAAAGCGATGAAAAAAATTTTGTGGACCCTGATCAAGTATGATTTTCATGTATTTCAATTTACTGAAACTGAATCTGAACGTTAATTAGCCTGTTGAGTCGTCAACATTTAAAAAATAGCAAAAAAAACCAAAAATTGCAATAAATCATGAAAAATCGAAATTATTGAGATGAAAACAATTTTTTGGATTCAGATTGAGTATGATTTTTATGTATTTTATTCCACTGAATTTGAATCTGAAGTTTTCTTGTCCAATTAACGTTTTAAAATAAAAAAAAATCTCAAAAAAACCAAAAAAATCAGGAAAATTGTAGTTATAAATATGAAAAAAAATTTATAGAACACGATTAAATACTTTTCTTGTATTTTTTCACGCATAAAATAGGAGTTTAGAATATGAAAATATAAAAAATTGTAATATTTATAAAAAAAATGACTAGAATGAAGAGAACGATTTTCTCGAATTTTAACCTCTTCATGCACGGTGGCATCATATGATACCACTAAATTGTATAATTTATGTAAAATCGGAAAATTGTGGTAGCCATGTTATTATTGTTTTTGTTTAATGTACGGAATGTTAGGCATCGGTCTACTTGGTTATTTTATCATTTGTGTTATCATTGAAAGAGATATATTAATAAACGCGAAACTGTTTTGTGCATTTGAAAAAGTCAAATTTTACTTTTTTTTTATATATAATTAACGATCAAATAATGTAAGTATATTTATAACTAATTACTTTTATTACATAATATAGTACGATCTATTCATATTTGGCAATATTGAAACAATATAATGTTGTTATGTATTCGAAATTGCTTAGGTACCATGTGGTATTGAATGATACCACTGTGCCTATTATATGAAAAATAATAACAATTTATACTATGATGTTTTTTTTTCTAGTTGAAAATAGATCTCAGGGATAAAGATATATATATTTTTTTTTTTTGATTTAGAAATCCCTAGTGATTCAGAATGTGCTGTATGTCCAGAATGTATGAGAGCATTTCACACTAAATTAATAAAAAATTGACTACAGTATATATTATTTTGTTAAATACTTTTAAAATATGTTATAAAACTTATATTCAGTTAAAAAACTGAAGTTATCAGAAGTCTGAAATTTAAGAAAAATACCTAGTCTTATTTATAATTTTTTAAATATTATTTGTTTATTATTATTCAATATTGATCTTTTAAAATTTGTTTTATTATATATATTCTATGAACTTAATTTTATGATTATAATTTATGAAGTTTTTCTAAAAGTTGATGTTTGTAATTTTTTTCTTTTTAATATAAAATAAAGTATGTTAGATAAAATTAAATAATATGAATATTTTTTTTTTCAAATATTGCACGATGGTATCATATGATATCATATACTAAAACCTTATTTTTAGTAAGTCAAAATCAAAAAAAAAAATTATTTTTTATTTTTACTAATATCATAAGATAATTATCTATTTGATTTGCAATTTAAATATTTTATTATTAAGGAAAAAAATCTCGCGCATAAAGAGGTTAAAATTCGAGAAAATCGTTCTCTTCATTCTAGTCATTTTTTTTATAAATATTACAATTTTTTATATTTTCATATTCTAAACTCCTATTTTATGCGTGAAAAAATACAAGAAAAGTATTTAATCGTGTTCTATAAATTTTTTTTCATATTTATAACTACAATTTTCCTGATTTTTTTGGTTTTTTGAGATTTTTTTAAATTTTAAAACGTTAATGGGACAAGAAAACTTCAGATTCAAATTCAGTGGAATAAAATACATAAAAATCATACTCAATCTGAATCCAAAAAATTGTTTTCATCTCAATAATTTCGATTTTTCACGATTTATTGCAATTTTTGGTTTTTTTTTGCTATTTTTTAAATGTTGACGACTCAACAGGCTAATTAACGTTCAGATTCAGTTTAAGTAAATTGAAATACATGAAAATCATACTTGATCAGGGTTCNTTGAAATACATGAAAATCATACTTGATCAGGGTCCACAAAATTTTTTTCATCGCTTTGATTGCAGTTTTTTGCAATTTTTTGGTTTTTTGCATTTTACTCAAATCTGAAGGGTGACCGGGCCAAACGGACTTCAAATTCGGATTCAACGAGTCAAAATACATGTCTGTAGGTCAAAAGTATAGACAACTTTTATTTTTTTGTGTGCTGGTGTTATTTTTAATAAATTCATTGCATTTTAATTTTTAGAAACCCATATTCAAGATTAAATAAAATTCCTAAAAATTAAAGCCATACTTTGTTTTTATGAATGAGTTTTATTTTTAATTTTATTATTTTTATTAACAGTAATATTTTTAATGATATTTTTGTGTATTATGTGAATAATATAGATTTATAATTTATTCAGATTTTTTTATCAACTAATTAATTTAAGGTGTATAGTGTTGAGCGATGGTAATACTAGTTGTTGACAACTCTATAGTATTAAGTTGCATCTACCGCCGTAAATGAACGGATAGGTGACCATACGTGCGCTTTTACTGTAATAAAAAAACTCTGTGTTCCAGTGCAGAAGGAATCAGGAAACCATAAATTAAAAATAAGAATATTTATGAAAACTTTTTTTATTGCTTTTGTTAGTTAAATGTGTATCTTCATTTATCTTTTATAAAATAATTTTTAGATTCATTACTTTATATTTTATGAGTCGGACCTGAGTTTAATGGTCTAAAAAATATTAGAAATATCTTTAAAAACTTCTAAAATTATCTTATAGAAATTTCTTAAACTAATTAAAACTCCCTAAAAAAGTTTAAAATAACATGTGAAATATCAATATATGCTCTATAAAATCACTTAAAATAAAAAGTATTCTATTAAAATGCTCTAAATTAAAAAATTCTGTAAAAAGTTATTTTAATTTTTTTGTATATGTACATTTATTTAATTTTGCATAAAAAAAAAGATGAATTGTTTAAAAACTATTTCACATTTTAAAAATACCGTTTTTTTTAAACAATATTTTTTTATTGCTGCAATTATAACAATATATTTAACTTTTTACTTCTTTAAAAATATTTCTGTATAAAAATACAGATAATTGTCATCATTTTTTGAAGGCTAAATCCTCATTAACTCCCCAGATTGTGCATATGTACATTTGTATATATAACGTAACAAAAAAGTAGTACATATTAATAATGTTCATGGCTAAAAGTAATTTTTGCCTTATATGCTCCAAAAAGTTTTTAAATAAGCTAAAAACTATAAAAATACCTTTAAAGTAAAAAATATGATACAAAATACAGTATAATGCTAAATAAAAGTTACAATAAAGAATTATCTTAGACGACGTTCTTCAAGCTTAAATAAAATATATATATAGAATTACATATGTTATAAATAATTTAAAAATAAAACTTTTTAGTTAATTTAATAATCTAGTTATCTAAAGTTTACACTCCTTTAAGGTATAAAGGATAGACCTAAAATTTATTTTACATAGAATAATAAAGATAAATAAAGATACATATTCAACTAAAAAAGTAATAAAAAACTTGTTCACATAAATTATTATTTTAACGTAAATTGAGTGGCTAGTGATATTAGAATCACTCTCTATATATTTTTTAAAACTTTATACAAATATTTAAAATTTTCTTTAAAAATATTTAAACTATTCTGTCCAAAGCTTCCCCACCAAAAAAAAAAAAATCTTAGTTCCCAAATATTTTGGGAATGTTACATGTTTTTTAGCTTCGATGCGAAGCTGAGAAGGTATTAATTTTACTATGATATGTTTTTTTTTTTTTTTTTTTTTTT